CCTATAAAGTAGAAAAAAAACATACATTAGTGAGTAACATTAACTTAGAAGTTAAATACACTAAGATAAAAAATAACAAACATCACTGACTTCTAACTATTTACAAGAAAAATCAATAGTTAAATATTATAGAATAACGAAATTTTAAAAAGTTACCACAAGTTTGAGTCAAAAACACTTCTAATAAAATTTAATCAAAAAAATTATAACTAGTCCACTTGACTAAATATTACTTAATAACTAATTGATCAAATTTTTTTCCAAGTCCTCAATCCATTGGACTTGATATTCTTCAGTCATGTGAACAAACATTTTGCGAATACTAAGATTAAGAAAGTGTGGCACCGCCAATGAAAATTGTCTTTTATCAATATTATGCTTAGTCATAAGATTAAGTACGTTTTTATTATGAGAAATACAAAAAGTATTACTCCCTTCGTTCTTATTTATATTCATCAAATTTAAAGTAATAATAAATTTATATTGGTGAGAATAATAAATTTAAAAGTAATGATGTGATTATAAATTTTATTTACATATGAAACAAATGGTTAGTAGATATAAATGTATGGTTGTTTTAACAAAATATAAACTCATGGATCAATTATTGTATTAAAATATCTCAAATCATGATATGGAATCACCATATAATTCTATATAATGGTTTTTGGAGAATATGGTATCACCTCTCATGATATGGAATCATGAGATGGAATCAGCATAAAATCTCATGTCCAAATGTTGATTCCATCTCACAACACCATATCGTGATATGGTATCGCATGGTCAAACGCCTACTAAGACTCTTGAAGCACATATGTGCTCGTCAACATGTGTGCTTCTTGGTATTGATATTAAATTGTAGGATATTTTTGTCATCCTGCCAGCTTACTCCAAAAATACTCTGTTTTAGTTTTATTGTACTTTATTTTTAGGCATAATACATAAACATGATCCTTAATTTGGCGTCAGTTGATAACTATGACTTTTAACTTTGGATGTGCACAAGTAGGCATTTAAAACTTGTATAAAATTGAACAAATAAACACATTCGTCCTACATGACACCCTACATGGCAATTTTGTGTCCTACATGCAGGGGCGGACCCACGTGGGTTCCAGGGGTTCACCCAAACCCCCTCGACAAAAAATTACACCGTATATATAAGGTATATTTTCTGTATTTTTGTAGATATATATATTTTGAACCCCTCAATGACAAAGAAAAGCTAATAACGCAGTGGCAAGTTCCCCCAAATCAAGTTAGAGGTCACTAGTTTGATTCCTTGTGATAGCGTTTTTTTTTTTTTTTTTTAAGTTTCAGTTCTGTCTTTTTAGTGTTTGCTTTTTAAAAAAAATCCTAAAATTGTGGTTTTAAACCCAAAAAGAATTCAAGGGTCCAATTTCTAAAGGCTTATTTACACGTTTATACTTTTATTTTTCGAACCCCCTGAACGAAAATTCTAGGTCCGCCACTGCTTACATGGCGTCCCACGTGTATTATGCCATGTAGGACATGTGTGCCTACTTGTTCAATTTTATACGAATTTAAGTATTTACTTGTGCACACTCAAAGTTAGAGGACATAGTTATCCGTTGAAGTCAAGTTAAGGGTTATGCTTATGTATTATGCCTTATTTTTATATGCATATACCTTCTCCATTGTGGACAAAAAAAACCATACTATTTTCGATATATGTCAGCCTTCTTCTTATCTTTCTATGAGTTTTGTGGGCCCAACATTAATAGTTTTTTGGCACTTCATTTTCTAATGCACATCATATTTAAGAGATTGTTATATGGAGTAATTAATAACTTACAATAGGAAGTTTCAAGAGTTACAGTCTTTAAATTTATTTGTCTTATTTCTTTAATTTTTATATATTTAAAAATCATATAAAAATATGAATTTATTCATCATAATAAATAATTTAAAATATTTAAAAATATAATAAATTTGATTGACTCTTGAAATTTTATCGGTATCATAAAAAATGGGACAGAAAAAATAACTTGTATTATTTTAAAATGACGTAAAAAAATATTGTAAATCTCTTTAAAATTATATATTTGCCACATAAATTGGGATAAAAGAAATAATATGTAGTATTTGAAAATTACACAAAAAATATTATAGATTACAACAATTAACAACTTAAAATATTTAAAACACATAAAGAGTTTGATTGTTTCTCAAAATTTCATTAGTGCCACATAAATGAAGCAGAGTGAATAAAATAATATTATTTAAAAATACATAAACAGTGCTATAAATTACAATAATTAATAACTTCAAATCATTTACATATCATATTAAAATTTAACTGACTCACTAAATTATATATGTCATATAAATTAAAGGGAAAAGGGTTTGAAAAAAACTTCAACTTTGGTCGAAATTGTTGTTACGATACCAAACTGTATGGAGGACCTTTTACCCCTGCATTATTTAATAGTGTATTTTAAAGGTATATATATGTCCATGTGGACACATTGTTATTTATAATGATGCAATATTTATGATGTCCACATGAGCACATATATACCTTTAAAATACATTATTAAATAGTGCAAAGGGTAAAAGGTCATTTCCAAAGTTCAGAATGATTACAGTAATTTCGGTCAAAGTTTTGATATATTTCAGACATTTTTTCCTAAATTAAAACAACTAATAACATAGGTTGGGCACGTGCTAGCACGCAGGCAGCACTTTGTCAACATGTTTGTTTGTAGCGAGGGGTAATATGGTAATTTTAATGTTCTTTCCTTTATTTTTTTTGTTTTATTACTTTATATAGATAAAAAAAATTATGTAAAAAATATTATAAATCGCAATAATTAATAGCTTAAAATATATTAAAGTTCTCGTTAACTCTCAAAATTCCATCTATACCACATAAATTGGATTAAAGGGAGAAATATATATTATGTAAAATACATTAAATGTACTATAAATCACAATAATTACAGGTTAAATATCAAAAAGAACTTATAAAAAACATTTTAAAAATATATAAATCATAATAATTAGCAACTTAAAATATCTAAAAAAATAAAAAATAAAAAAAATAAAAAATAAATAAAAAAATAAAAAAATATATATATATTAGATTGACTCTCAAATTCACCTGTGTCACTTAAATTGATACAAAAGGAGTAACATATATCATGTGAAAATTACGTAAAAAGTACGATAAATAATAATAATTATGTAGTAATTATAAAAAATAAAGTGACTTCAAATTTTATATATATCACATAAATTGAAACAGAAAAAATAACATCTATTGAGCCCCGTATCTAGTGGAAAATATATAGTACTGATTCAATGCGACAAAATTCGACTTGTAGACTTGTATGGCAACAAGAAGTCATCTTAGTTATTCAAGACGACTACTATTAATCATCATCATGTCTTCACTCGGTTAAAGAAAAAAAAAGGAAATGGTAAGAACTTCAGAGGGGATTTTTTTTTCTTTTTAAAAAAAGGTTCTTATGAATGTATCAAATCGATGTTCTAACAAAAAGGGATTTTAGATAGGTTATTTGTGAGAGTAATTAGTGTTTGAGGGGGTTAAATGGGTAATGAGCGAATATTTGAATTTTGGGCTAATTAATTGGTCAAATCGAATTGAGTCGTATGATTGCGCCATGTGTATCAAATAAGTCTTATGTCAGAGTGAGGGGTAAATGTGCACTGATTTTTAGATGGCAGAAGCATTAATGAACAAAAAATACGATGAAATTATTTATATAACAAAAAAATATATATATTTGTCATTTTTTCATATACTAATTTTTTTTTATGACGAGTGCAAAAGCACCCTTTTTTCGTTATTGAAATGACAGAACTTTGTGATCGCTCAATAATAATACTATACTTATCATTGTAAATGTAATTAACACTATTGAAACCCTAGACGTCGACGATGACGGAACCGATATCAGTCGAAGAAGACGACAAGCAAGCACCGGAACTTCAACGACGCGGCGAACCAATTTCGGCGGCGGCGGAGGAGGATCAGATATGCAACAATCGCAAGGAGAAAAGGAAGTTGACGAAGAAGGAGAAGAGGAAGCAGAAAAGGAAGGAACTAGCGGAGAAGACGCGCCAGGAGGAGGAGGCTAAGCTGAATGATCCCGAGGAGCTTCGCAGGATTCAGCTGGAGGAAGAGGAAGAGAAGGAGAGATTAGAGAGAGAAAGGAGAGAGTTTAAGGAAAGAGAAAGGCTCTTTCTCGAAGCACTGGCTCGAAAGGAAGCTCAAGAGGTAGAAGAAGAAGAACGAAGGAGAGTGGAAGAAGAGGAAGAAAAGGCAAAACAAAGCCAGGTACACATAATTGGCGCCAAATGTACTTCCACATCCTCTTTATTTACATAGCAGTGAACTTTGAGTTATGTGGGTTGTGTATAATGTATTTACTTTATTGGTTATAGTTGCTTATTAATGGGGTTAAATTGAAGGTTAA